TATATAGACTAGGCTGGCCTCACTCCCATCTGCTTCTGCTTCCAGAGTGCTAGGATTAAAGACATGTACCACCATGCCCATCTCTAAGTGTTTCTCTCTCTCTCTCTCTCTCTCTCTCTCTCTCTCTCTCTCTCTCTCATGTTTTGCCTACATGCAACTAAGTGCAAGCATGCATTCAATACACACAGAGACCAGAAGAGGGCAACCGATCTACCATGTGGGAACTTGGACCCTAACCTGGTTTCCCTTCAAGAGCAGCCAGTGCTCTTAACTTCTGAGTCATCTCTGTAGACCCTAAAAAATTTTTTTAAAATATTTTAAACCAGGGATTACTACAGCAGCAGAAGAAGGAAGGAAGGAAGGAAGGAAGGAAGGAAGGAAGGAAGGAAGGAAGGAAGGAAGGAAGGGGGAAGGAAAGACAGAAAGCTTCAAATGAAAGATTGTGTGTGGGCTTCTCATAAGAATCACCCTTCATTGTCTTTACAATAGACAGAAAGGGGATTTTGATGTTTTGGGTTATTGTCTTTGGAGTGTTACTGCAGAATATAAATGAGACTCATATTATGCACCTGGCAGGATGACAATTGATAAAGTAAAGCCAGATCACAGGGATGGAGGAAGTTAGGGCATCTTCACTGCGAAAAAAGTTTATAGTATTTGTGAGATTCCCAAAAAGTATACTGTAGAGGAATAAGTCTTTACCACAGGTCACATACAATAAAGTCTTAAGTCTTGTTTATATCTATTTTAATATTCTTATTTTTAAAAGTTTCTATGTAAAAGAAAATCTTCTTTTTGTTGGCAACCTTCACAGCAAATGTCAATTATGGAATCCATGATTTTCTTCAGGAGGGAGAGTTCAACCAGACTTTGGGGTGAGGAAATCGTCTCCTTTCACAGGTTCCCATACTTTTCCTGTGTTTCCATTCTACCTCATGTTGCCTGGAAAGGAATTTCTGAGTCAGTTCTGAATTTAAGAGACATAACTTCTTAATCACATAGTTATCAGCTATAAGGGAAGTTAGGAAATACAGTCTAGATAGGAAGAGAGCAAAAAGGTAACCGTTTTTTATAACTAACAGCATCTCTAGTATGACCTCTTAGAATACTATGGTTCTCCTCAATAAACCCATCCCCTTTTCAGATGATAATCTTTCCCAGCCCTTGGAGATCCAGGGCACCTGTGCCCATTTCCCAGATGAAGAAACTTTTTTGAAGTTTGATTATATTTTGTGAATATTAAAATCGTAGGAATTTTCACACAATGCTTGAATCGATTTTCCTAAGATGAGCTACTCTATGTTTCCAGAATTGGGCATAATACCTAAATTTCAAAGTTGATGAGTTAGATTAGAACCTCAAAAATTCCAAAAGTTAACTTTTCTCCAGATTGTAGAAAAATAACTACAGAACATGTTTCTTTGGATTCCTCTACTATCATTTATATTAAACCATTCTTATAATTTAATATGGAACACATGAACAACTTGATTTTATTGAATCTTAAAAGTTCTACTTAGTCTTTTAAAGTATCTGAACAGTGTAGAGTTGATATGCTATGGAGGAAACATTTTTGCAGTCTAATATACTTGTGAGTCTTTGCTTAACATTGATAAAGAGCAGGTCTGGAGAGATGGCTCAGCAGTTAAAAGCACTGCTTGTTCATGCAGAGGCCCACTCTCCATTCCCAGCACCTTGCATGGCTGCTAAGAACCATCTGTAACTCCAGTTTCAGGGGAATCTGACACCCTCATCTGACGACATGGACATTGCATGACATGGGTGTATTTACATACGTGCAGGCAATACACATACACATAAAATAAAAATGAAATATGTAAAATATGTTAATAGAGGTATAACACTGTTGCTGGTACTATGTGTTAGAAAAGGAATGAATGGATAAATGAATGTGTAATGGCATTGCCAGATGTTAGCAATAGCGTTACAGCAAATGCTTCAGATTCTATTCCATACTGAATGAGAAAATACATATTTTATTGTTTTTATGTGTGTTTTTAAAATTTTTATTTATTTTATTGAGACAGGGTTTCTCTATAGCCCCAGCTGACCTGGAACCTTTTATGTAGGCCAGACTGGCCTCGATGAGTTATATTGTTTAAAAGAAGCTATTGTATTGAGGAATGGCTCATCTTTGTTAAACTATTAAATATCAAATATGCTACTAAATTTAATTATGTTAACTATGAAACTGGTGGCCATAAATATTTCAATGGGCTCTAAAATTTTACTTTCTATTTGCAGCAAAGGTATCGGTATCTGAAATATATAATTTGACATATTACTTATGTTTATAATTAAAACTGATATTTCGTATTGGGAAATTAGTGAGAATAAAGTTTGTTTGTTCTCATTCTTCTTGATGTCTATCTAAGTCAAAGTTAGAATTCTGACTTAAATTCTAAATTATAAGAACCACAGATTTTATCTGATTGAAGTTAGTAATTTCCATTGTCTTTAAATGAAAACACTTCTTTCAGAAAAGAAATAGATTTATATTTCTGGAATGTTTTCATGAAATTTACTAGAATAACTTCACAGTACTGACTTCAGCTTTCAGACCAGGAAGCAGGCTTTGTGAAGTCAAACAACCTAAGATCACATGGTTGGCAAGTGGGGACAGAGATACGCATATGTGCATGCTGACGTTTCAGTCCTGACATATTTGGACAAACAGTATGATAATATCAGTGACTCTGGATATAAATCCTACCCTGTCTCTGTCATAGTAGAAGTGTATAAAATTCCCTCTCTCTCTCTCTTTCTCTCTCTCTCTCTCTCTCTCTCTCTCTCATCTTTCTCTGTTTGTTTCCCCCCGACACACCCCCATGCTGTCCTCCTGAGTAATTAAGATTGAAGTTACACATCTCCATGACCTGCTGGGAAAATCATTTTCTGTCACTTAAATTTAGCTTTATTTAGCTTTATATCCTTTTCTTGAAAAAAAAATATCAAACTAGTTAAGTTATGTAAAATCAATTCCAGCCATGAAATCACAATAAAAAATAGAAAAACTGAGTGTGAAACAGTCTTTCTCCACTTTTTACCCCTGAATTAATATTGTAATAGAAGCATTTTTCTTTGTTGTTGCTGTTATTTATTTGTTTTGTTTTGTTATTGTTTTTTGAGACAGGGTCTGCCTATATCCCCATCTGTCTGGGAACTCACTATGTTTACCAGGCAGCCTCCATCTCATATTATTACAATGTATTATTATTATCTACAATAATTTTGAAATTATTGTATTTTTTATTTTATGTGTATGAGTGTATTGCCTGCATGAGTATAAGTGCATCCGTGTTGCACAATGTGGAAGTCAGAAGAAGGCATTGAATCCCCTGGAATTGGAATGATAGACAGTTGTTAGCTGCCATGCGGTGATGGGAATTGAACCTGGGTCTTCTATAATAACAGCCAGTGCTCTTAATGGCTGAGCCATCTTTCCAGCCTTCTCCATTTCATTTTCAAGGTCAAATACCTAAAACCTAACTGTAAAGATAAAGTATTAAAGCAGTCACTGCCTTTAACCCCCAAAATATAGCACAGGTTCTTAGGATTATACTTGGGTTAGAAGCATTGATTACAATGTAATCACTTTCCTACATAAAATTCCATGCCGTTTCACAGCATAATTAATTCCTCCTCAATTCTTCCACTGAGAAAAGTCAAATATAATCCCTGAATCTAAGCGATTTTCCTAAGTAACATTCTACCACAAAATTTAATGACCTAGGAAGCTACCACCTTTTCCCTCACTATACCCCATGTGGGCAAGGTCTTTCTGGTCACAACAGGCTCCCTCTCCTATCAGTGGACCTGAGGGGGCAGGCCAGGGTTTGACTGTTCTGGGATGTCTCCACTCAAAAACCTTACTTCTCCTCCATGTGGTTCTTCAACTTCCAGAAGGCTCCATGCAGCTGGTTTTATTAATTCATGATAGCCAAGAAAACTGTCAAGGATTGCGCAGGAGTAGAAAGGACCTTGTGAGGCTCAGAATAAAAACTAGTGCAGTATCACTCCTCCCAATGTCCTATATATCCACTGAAGCAATGTCAACCTTGATTTAAATACAAATAATCTTAATTCCTATCAGGAAAACCTAAAAAGCCAGGGTGCAAAGAAATACATATTTACAGTGAATGAAAAGGCTGAGACTTTCCACAAAGATCTACAACAATGCCTGCCTTTCATGTAAGGATAGGGTAAAATCATGTTATTTGACTGGTACTCTAAAGAGTGGACGAATCATTTAACTCCTTGTCTTCTCTATCCAAATTCATTCTGTTCTAAGCAAAACACCATTATTATCATTCTTACCATATACTCAGTCTTCTTTCTTTTACGATGCATATGTATTTTTATAACATCAATATCTATCATCTATCATCTATTTATCTGTCTATCTATCTATCATCATCTATCTATCTATCAATTGATCATCTATCTATCAATCATCTATCTATCTATCATCGATCTATCATCTATCTATATATCTATCTATCATCTATCTATCTATGATCTATTTAGTTCAGGAATCTGAAAATGAAGGGTGGTTCAAATGACTTTTGATTTCATATATGTTTTGCCTTCTTGATTCAGCAAGTTCTAATGCAGAGTGTGATGTAAAAACAACATGAAAAAATATACTCTTTCAAATAACGCATGATTTTACCATGACTTGTTCTTACATTGCTATATCAAGAGACAAACAGAGAGTGGAGGACTAGGGGATGATAGTGAGTATGAAGTACTCTACTGACCATCAGAGAATGGTAATAATAAAATGGGGTATTGTTCATGTCAGGTGAGTATAACTATCAATTTCAGAAAAAAAGGCCAGGGAAGATATGAGAATTTAGTCTAATCAATGTAATGCAAAGAACTAAGTCAGTGACCTGGAAAGACATGTTTAATAATAAAACATTGTACACTAAAAACTTTTAAAGTGAAGTTTGAGACTGATACTATTTTACTATATTTTATAGCCAAGTGATAGGTATTTTTTCAGGGAGTTTCACTCATTTTGTTAAGCTTTTCCAAGGGCTGATTGACTTGGAATCATCATCCATAAGTGATATGTATTTTTAAAAATAGATGACTTAGCAGTTAAGTACAATGACTACCCCTGCACAGCACCTGGGTTCACCACATGGCAGCTAACAAGTGACTGTAACTCCAGTTTCATGGGATCAGAAGCCCTTTTCCAACACCCATGGGCATTGCACACATGTGGTATACTTACATCAAGGAAAAACACTCATAAATATAAAATACACAAAATTTCAAAATGAAAACATTTAAAAACTACATGGCATCTACGAGCTGACGCATCTATATATTATGTGCTTATTTATTGCAACCATGTTACTGATAGGACCTTAGACAATCTCTACAGTGTTTGTGTATTCCATATGCTCAGCATTATTTTTTCTATTTTATTTTGTAGCATGAAAAAATTGAGACTAATAAAAGGTAACTTTCCTATTACTTTCTCATAGACTCATTTTAAGCACTTTCGAAAAAGCAAATATAATCTGTATTAGTTATTTATCTGTTGCTGTGATAAAACACTGTGATCAAGACAACTCATATAAGAAAGAGTTTATTTGGCTTATGATTCCAGAGGGGTTAGAGTACATAATGGCATGGTTGCTTAGGTGCCTGAAGCAAAAAGCCAAGGGATTACATCTTCAAGTCACACAGGAAGCAGAGAGGGACTAGAAAACGGGCAAAGTTAAGGAACTCTCAAAGCCCACCCCCACTGATGTGCTTCCTTTAGCAATCCCTTCCATTTTAAATCTCCCAGAACAGTGCTACCATCTGGGAACAAAATATCAAAATACTTGGAACATATGGGGAATATGCTCATTCAAAATACAATAGTCCACTCCTTGGGCCCCATAGTCTCATGACCACATAAAATGCAAAATGCATTTAATCCAACTTCAAAAGTCCCCATAGTCTTTATTAGTCTCAATACTATTCAAAAGTACCAAGTCCAAAGTCTCTTCTGGGACTCAAGTCAATCTACTGAAACGGGGAGAAAGGGGGTCTCCTGGAGGGTTCTTAGTCCCATTCATAAAAGAATTAAAGAATGGACCCAAACTTTATAGAATCTTAAAGAAAAATCCTCAGGGCAGGTGAACTGGTAATCTTGGCAGCTGCCTTGTGCAGATGAATAGTGGGAAGAAGGAAAGAAAGCCATGGAGCCATGCAGGTTTAGAGACTGTGTGGGAGGTCAGACATGTGGCTGACTCACAGCCACATGGCTGGAAGAAGGAAGCTTTAGAAAAAGTGAAGAAATACAAGATGCTAGGGACAGCCCAAAGCCTTAAAGAAAGCATGTTTAGTAAGAAAGGCATGAAGAAGAAAAGGAGAAATTATGCATTCCTGAAGAGTTCAGGAAAGCAGACAGACTTACGGAAACGTATATGGCTGTCGCTGGTCTGGAAGTTCTGCAGGGTCTGAGCTAGTTCCAGGCAGAAATATTCTTTACCTTATTAACACACTAGGTATTCTGCCCATCTAAAGCAAACTGAAGTTGACCCAGCCTTCCTGGGAGTGGTTCTATCACCAGGCGATTGACCAGTGAGACTGGAAAAGTAGGTCCTCCAACAGATTGACTGGACATTTTTTTTATAGTCTGGAACAATTCAATTTATGGGGTATATTGATACCCTAACACTACTTATTGTAAGCCCCTGTAAAAGTAAAAGATAACTTACACACTCACAACATACAAAGAAACCAAATACAAATTCCCATTCCAAAATGGAGGAATGGAGGCATATTGAGGAAATATTAGATCAAAACAAACCCAAAACCAGTAAGGCAAACACCAAATTCAGTAGCTCCATGTCTGACTACTGGGACTTTACTACCAAAGGACTTAGATGGCTCAGTCCCTCCAGCATTGCTGCATGCGACATCTTTCTCTTGGGTTAGTACAATTTGCTGTATGCACCTCTCCTTGGCAGACGTCTCATGGCTCTAGCATTCAGTGTCTTGAGGTCTCCAGTCACCAGGCTTCACCTTCACAGCTTCACACAATGGCTGTCAGGGAATTCTGGCCTGTCAGGGCCTTCTTTATGCAGGGACACACCTGCTGAACACTCCCTGGCCTCAGCAGCTCTCTGAAGCATTGAGGAAGAACCAATAACCCCTTTGTTCTATCTTTCATTCCTCTAAAGACAGTACCAGGTGAACAGCACTACCAAGTTCAGCTGCAGGCCTGGGTTGGACCCCTGCTCACTTCATCCACATTACTAGCAGCTTTTTTTCCATAGCAATATTCTAGGAGTAGAAACTTCTTTAGGCTTTGTCCTTTCACAAGTTGGAGACTTACCTGGGTGTGGTTTTGCTCTGAGGGGAATCTTTCCATCCTTTAAGTGCAAATCTCTAGGCCTCCCCTTAAGGGCTCTAATCTCCTTATTAAAGGGACCCTCTCCTGCAGCACACGCCTTGGCTCCAATGTTAGTTTCCTTGGCTCCAACATTAGTTTCCTTAGTGCTCTTTTTTCAATCCAAATTTGAGATTTAGCATTTCTTTGGGCCTCACCTGCTCTTTTTCTTTTTCTTTTTTTTAATAGGAATGAAATAAACTTCATTTATCTGATCCTGAGATGACATGCCCAACAGTCACAGAGCTTCATACAATAGGATTATGTTCTGACTATTTAAAATTTACAGTAGTATTTTTATTCTCTGAAAAATATAAGTACGAAAGCTAGGTAAACAACAAGGTTCTGTCTTTTGGGACTTAAAGAATTAGGCTTAACTCAAAAAAAAATCAATCTGGATAATAATCAAATTCTCTAATTTATCAGAAAAAAAATTCACTGTTTCACCTCAAAATGTATGGCACAAGTCTTTAAAAAAGGAAAAAAAAATTAATCATTCTAAAAATAAATCAGAGAAGCAGTTCTTTAAAAAGGACAGAAAGAAGAAAGGAACATCAAATGAACTGTTTGCATTGTCACCATAGTCACTATTAATAGCCACACCACCATTTCTGTTAAGCTGTCTTGAAATTTCCTCCAGCAAACAAATCATTTCATTACTTTTCAACTTAGCCTCAAACAAGCTTTTAGACTGTCGGCATATGGCAGGCAGATGCTTTGCCAAAATATCCCAGTTGCTGCTCAAGTCCTTATTTCCCTCTGGTACTACTTTGTTCTCAGCACTTCTGGAATCCTCCAGGCTCCTACAACATGCTCTAGTTAATTTCTATGGTGATAAACACCAACTTGAGGAGGAAAGGGTTTATTTCACTTTCGCCTTTCATCATGGAGGGAAGTCAGGGCAGGCGCTCAGGGCAAGAGCTGAAGCACAGACCGTGGAGGAATGCTGCTTACTGGTTTGCTCCTCTGGCCCATTCTTAGCCTGCTTTCTTACACAACACATGGCCGTCTGGCCAGGGGTGCCAATACCCACAGTGGCCTAGGCCCTCCCACATCACTCAGTAGTTAAGAAAATGCCCCATAGACATGACCACAAGGCACTCCAATGGGAGAAGTTTCTCGGTTGAGGTTCCCTCCATCCAGGTGTGTCAAGTCAAAAACTGAAGCCATGCAGCAACTGATGCTATCCAACACACAGTCAATCCTTAGTGAATTCAAGCATTTACACATCAAAAGTGTTTGGGAAAAAGTGCGTGCATATTAAATATATACTATTGTATTGCTATTATTCCTTAAATAGTACATTATTATAACTTTTTCCACCATATTTTTGCTGTGGCTAGTACTAAAACTAATTAGAGATGATCAAAAATATCAACTTGTTTGTTGTTGGTGGGATGGTGGTGTATGTGCAGGTTACTTGAACATCTACAGATTTTGATATTTACAAAGGGGCATGCAACCAATCCCCGTGGATGCTAAGTAATGACTGCTTCCTTCTTACAGTTAGACATAACATTTTGGCTGTCACTTAATATAAATCTATACTACAACATATATTCACATTCTTTCTCTTTCATTCTCATATTCACTATCACTCTTTCTAATGCTCCAGGATTAATCTCAAGAAAAAGAAAGAAAGCACAGTTTATTGGCAAGACTTGGGATTGAGTGAATACAATGTATATTACTTGTCTTTTGAAGGAAGTAAGAAAATCATGGATTTTGACCATAGATACATATGAGTCCAAGACAGGGAGAAAGTATCAATAAAATACAAAAACCAAAAATGTAGGCATGTTCTAGCCCAGGTGAATTCAATGATCTGCCCTTATTTTTTTCAGAGTTCTAACCTTCTTCTCTCTCTCTCTCTCTGGGTTTTGTATCTCCCAGCTGTTATACACTGATGTCTTTTGGAAAATGTGACCAAATTCTCAGTGGTCTTTTAATTCTATACTTCGGATAATTTATATATTTTTGTGACTTTGTTTCTGTTTGTGTTGTTTTTGCTTCTACTTTGCTTTGCTTTGCCTTGCTTTTAATTTCTTGGGTACTCAGCAAAATAATTTTATTATTAGTTTGCCAAATTTTTGCACTAGCCTGACATTGATGTTTATTGTGGAATAGCTATTATTTTACTTATGAAATGGTCAAGAATGACATTTCTATGCATGGCCTGTAAAAGACTTTAAGGTTAGACAATTTATATTTTAAAAATACAAGGCATAGAGAAAATTAAGGATTATATACATAGAGGAATGGAAAGAAAAACAGGATCTCTAGAAATATTTTACACAAGAGCGAGGGGAAGTTTGTCAATTAAAATTTGTGGGATAAAATAGATACTCTTAACCAATAGGTGTCCAAAAGACATGTTTTAAAGTTTTAATTATTTCATAATTTTTCATAATCATATCTAACTTATGACAACTCAAAATAAAGTCTTGATATGAACTTGATGAATATAGGCTAGTTTTGGGGGAGTAGAGAAATAGCTGCTTAAATTTAGGTAGGAAGTTTCCAATGTCAGCATAGTATAGAAAACAGAAATAAAATTAACTTCATGTCAAGATCTTAATAGAAAATGACATTGATGTCATGATGTCTGAACTAATACCTGAAGGATAATAATGAACAATCTCACTAAAATAAATCATAACTGATAAAGGAGA